CAATGGCAGTGCTAAAAGTCATGGAACACGCATGAGACGAAAACATCTAAAAGACTACAGGACATTTTTTAGGTTGAGAAACATGTAAAAAGGCAGATGACAAGCTTCAAGAGATATTCCTAGCAGCATCAGTAGACAGAGATTTTAAGACAAGTCTCGGAGGGAGCCATATGGAACCCCAAATATTTAAGCCACCTCTTCATCAGTACCAGCCCATAGGCTGCCTCTCTCCAGTTAATGTCTTCCGTAATAGGGTGACCAACTCATCCCAGTTTGCCAGAGCCTTTCCCTGTTTTTCTGTTGAAAGCATTGTTTCTTGGGAACCTGCTTAGCCTCAAGCAAACATGGGTGGTTAATCACTCTATAATTAGCTAATGGTTTTAGACAAGACTACGGTTAAATTAGAAAGAGGATACTATAGCTATTGGCTTATGAATGCTTTTGGTAATATAGTGCAGAAGTCTACACAGAAACAACTAAATAGTCTTGGACTGATATTTTAAAAACTTTCTGTTTTAAAATAATTATAGGTATAGAAGAAGTTGCAAAGGAGGTACAAAGAGGTCCTATGTACTCCTTCCTCAGTCACCCTGAAAGGTTACAGCCTATAAAACTACGGTACAGTATCAAAACCAAGAAACTGACTTTGGTACAATGTGTATATATGGTTGTATATGATTTTAGTATGTGTAAATTCATCACATAAAAATTCACCACCACCATAATCAATCAAGATTCAGAACTATTCCATTGTCACAAAGTTCTCCCTTCTATAGTATCTTGGGTTATTATTTCAGTCACTAAATTTGTAAAACATAAAAATATGCTAAATACAAACAAAGTTAGTTTCCTTGAACTTTTTAGCTAAACATGAAGAACATGATAAAATCATTTATCAGCTCACTGCAGAGAAGTGGGTATTCAAACCTTAACACACAGTTCATGCCCTTTAACTCTTTCCCTCTTAGCAAGAATTAAGAAAAGCCATTCACAGCTCTGGAGCAGAGTTGTTGGGTGGGGGTGGGGGGCTGTCTGTTGTTTGTTTTTTAGGAATTCCCTATTAGGCACTCTCTTCTGGCCCAGGTTCCTCTGCCCACTACTTCTCAGAGGTCCTAAATGCAACTAACGAAGAGCTTATAGTAGGAGAAAAATAATAACTGGATAACTAGAAACTTAAACAACTTTTTTCTTTTATAGAGACTCCATTATAAAGCATGTGTCAATTTGATACGATTAAAATACCATAGAAGACAATATTATGAACCTCCTATGGTTTAGTCTATCAGAAAGCTCGTATTTTATCAAGGTTACAAATATATATATTATTGCTTTTCACATATAAGCCAACACACTAAAATAATAAGAACCCAATCACCGGAAGTCTAATAGTAAAAGGGAAAAAAAGAAAGAAAACTCAATTCTTGAAAGATAAAATAGTTCAAAATGTTATTATGAACAGAAGTTTATGTCCAATATATTGAAGAAAGTAGTTTTGTTTGTTTAATAAAATTCAAGTTTCAAACATCAAATTGTGTTAAACTGTATAACCTTAACATAAAATCCTAAAATACTATGAGAGGGGCAATGGACAGAATAGGTACTACACTAAGCCACTCCAAAATGCTAACTTTAAATTCTGTCCCTAAGAGCTCACTGCAGTAAGTATCCCAGCTGAAACAGCAACACAAGAATTCATGAAGGTAGAAGAAAGATCTACCCCTTACTTGAACTTACTTCTCAATTCACTAACCTCTATTTAGAGGGCACACTATGAAGTTTTATTTCTGAAAGGTGCTCATGTCCTCACTAACATATTCAAGACCCAGGTATAAGGTAATTCATCCAGATACCAATCATAATAAATCTCTGAAGTTGGTAATTACTACTAAATCCTTCCAATGAATTGTGAAGAATTTCCTTTTGGTTATATTAGAAATTAATTTAATAAACATTAATCATTAAGTTAACCTATTTAGTCCCCTGTGTACACCAAACACATTTCTACATATAACCACATATGTAGAAGATACATATTAATGTTAACAAAGTGTTATTTACTTTTAGTATAGATATATTCATTTTAAAAAGACTAATTTACAATAAGCATAAGTCTCTTTTCATATTTATCTGTTTCTATTTCTTTCTATCCTCAAATGCTAACAACAAACCCTAAATACAGTTATAATTTCTATCAACAATCATACATTATGACCAGACGGTGATACATTCTGTCATGTTTAAGTCTGTTTTAACCAAGGATTTCCGGAATTTTTTCTTCAAAAATTGCTTTCTGCAATTAAAGCATTTCTTGAACTAAAAATAGTTAATCTGACATTACAGAATTTTATTCCAGGCAACTCAGCCCAAATCACTAAAAATTTAATAGACAGTATAATCTAAATGAAACTTAGTAATGGAAGATCCACTTATCATACTCTAAAAGTCTCAAAAATATTAAAAAGAATAAAGCAATATAGTCATTAATGTTAGGAGGAATGGGATTTAAGTTCAAGAAGTTCACAACTATGGTGATCCTTAGGACATTCAAATTTCACTTATACCATAAATTTGGTAAATTTCTGCTTATGGTCTTGCTAGAATTACTAACCTGTAAGTGCCTGGCACCTTCTTCATTTAGGAAACAATCTGCCTCCCACTGAGAATGCTCTGGTTAATGAAAACATACCTTTCCCTAATAATAAGGAGAATGCTTCTAAAGCAGAGGTTCTCAACCTGTGGGTCGAGACCCCTTTTTAACAATGAAAATACACTGGAAGGCTGAGAACCACTGTTCTAAAGTGATAGTCTTCTGGGAAGTCTCCGAACAAGCTAGTGACATGCAGTTTTATCACAGGAATAAGAACCTAATTTAAACTAGAGTGCTTGGATATTTCACATATCATCCAAGGGCTTTATAATTTTCAAGGAGAAAACAAGAAGGATCTTTCCCCAGAGATACAGCCATCAAGCCCAACCTTAAAAAGGCGGGAAAAACAAAAACCCAAAACAAATAAAAAATTAGGTTATTTCTAAAAATCCTTGGGCATCATCCTAGTTCCAGTACCCATCAAAAGCCACCCCCCCTAAGACTCTTCCTTGTGGGTAAGCGCAGAAGTTTCACATGGGAAAAAGGCCAAAGTGACTGCCACGGTGCAGACATCAGGCTCACCTGACTACGATGCCTGTGGTTCTATATGCGTCAGCATGGGAACAGTGGTGCTGATCGCCCCACAACTGAGGGCTGCTGAGGACTGCCTCAGGGGTGCATTTGCGGCTCTTTTCCTCCTGTGGTCCATGTGGAAGGAGAGTGCTTCAGAGATGACAAAGAACAGGAAAACAAAAATTCACACAAAGGAAAAGAAAAGTCCCCTCACTAAGGCATATCGCACACATAATCCTAAAAGCAAGCAATAAAATAAGCCTGCAAACTGGCCACAGACTGCTGTACAGAGTACTGAATGTGAGAACAAATATCCTGGGAAGACAAACTGGAGAGAGGCTGACTGCGGACCAGATCCTGACGTTTTAAAGGGGAGAGAGGTTGCCATCAGCTGTGTGTCCTCTAGGCTAGTGATGGGAATCAAATAATGGCCTAATTAGGGAACAGCAATTTTGAATTTATGTTAATAATAATGTTTACTAAATTAATCATTTTTCTTTTTTCCTTCAAATAAAAATATATAGACATGTCAAAAGCATAAACAAGAGAGGATCAAACAAGCAATCATCTCTTTACAACTTCTGAAGTTTAAAAGATTAAGTCCTTTTCACACTGAAGCTCCCAGAGTAGTTGAAAGAGGCAGATGATCCTGTATACAAATCTACCTGCTTTTCTGGTCACCTTCCAGAAGAAAACTGAAGTCAAAATTCTAACTACTTACTCTTTCTACTTCGTGGCATTTTTTCAAGGCATCCCCGTATCTCCCCAGACGCTGGTAAGCTGAGATGCACTCTGTCTGAAACCACATACACTGCATCTCATTGAGATTTTCCATGGCAGATGTTCCTTCCTGCAAGGGAAGCATTCATAACTGTACAGAGCAACCAATGAAACAGAACCTAAAAATCTCATTTTTTCTTTTACAACTATAGCTGCTAGCATAATTATGATAATAAGTAGCAATTAGTAAAAACACTCATGTGCTTCCAAAAGGACCTACCACTTTTAAGTTACAGCAGTCCCCCCTTATCTAGTTTTGATTTCTAAGAAAACCAGTTTCAGTTATCCACAATTAACAGTATGAAAACATTAAAGGGAAAATTGCAGAAATATACAATAAGCCTTAAAGGGTGCCATTCTGAATAGTGTGATAAAATCCTGCACCAACCCACACTGTCCCAGGCAGGACCTGAGTCTTCCCCTCGTCCAGCACATCCACACTATCCATACTGTCTGGCCTATTAGTCACTTTGAGCCATCTCAGGTTATTATATCAAAAAAATAGGAAATACATACATAGTGTCTTCTTTATCTAGCTCTTTAGGGGTACTCAACACCCTACAGAGAAAAGACTCCAAATTTCTAAAGCTTCATTTTCAAACACCAAAGCTTTTATTTCAACTATTGAAGACAGTAATCCTATAAAGCACTGCTTATCTTCCTGTCTTTTCAAACAAAAGCTACTTAGCCTTTCCTGGCTGAGTTGGGGTCACGTTAGGTACACCCAGTCCCATTAGGCCTGTTTTTCAGTTTCCCAATCTCCCTCTTCCGAGTGAGTCTATCGGTATCACTGCCACTTTCTTTGTGCCCATGTGTCTGCTTCTAACAGCATCTCCTGTTTCATGCCACCTTTTCTGCTTGGGTATTTCTTCTTTGCAGTGAGTTAACAAAACGAAACAGCAGAACTTGTTAGGTGTATTTGTTCATTCAGGCTCTACAAGAATTCTGACAGGAGAGTAAGACATAAAGTACCTAGCTTCCATGCAGGGCCACTGGCATTCTGTCACAGTTTAGAAGAAAAGTACTTTAAATATATATATATATATTTTTTTTTTTTTGTCTCTGTCCCATTGAGTGACAGTTGCCGCTGGTATAGTCGCAGGGCAAAGATGCCATCAAAGGTCTTCTCTCAGCACCAGCTACCAAATCCCGGCCCCACTGCCTTGGGGAGGATCTGTGAAAGTGCTAAAAAAGTACTTTAAATATATTTTGTGGGCTTCTAAGTAAGATGGCAAAAGTATATTTATAAATAAGTAATTTCAGTCTTTAGTTCTTTTTACTCACATTTTGTGTCATCAATTCAATTTTCAGAATTCATTAAAGTCTAAAACCTGGTTATCTTTGGGTGAATGGAATTATGAATGTATTTGATTTCTTCATTATAGTTGTATATATTTTCCATTTTGTTGATGAATGCATATTTTTATAAGAAATCTACATTACCTTCATTTCAAGAGTTTACCAACTAGAATTACGGATCATGCATTATAAACTTTATACAAAAATTCTAAACTGTGGAATATCTGTAAGGAGGAAATATGACCACTTAATTTATTTATCAGCAAACAGACATAAATAAATTATTCAAGGTCATTAGCAATTTTCTTCTCCTGCCTTACTTCACTGTCCACAACACATTACACATCTGCCTGGCCAATGATCCAGTCTGGACAAACTCAACAAGCCCTCCACACAGCCTTCTGTCAAAAGTGGATGATCAGAGGCAGTTACAATGAGCAAACTCAGCCACGGACCGCGGTGACTCTCCACAGACGGCTCCTCTTGCCTGCTTTCTTATTTTCCTACGCCTCTGAGGACACATCCTAGTTGTCTCTGGTTTGTTTTTGTAAAAATCACTGGACTTATTTAACTTAAGTTTTAAGCTGTATATAGGTTGAGCAACCCTTATCTAAAATGCTTGGGACTAGAAGTGTTTCACGGGAGGGAGAGGGGAGAGGGGAATGGGTGGAGGGAGGGTGATTGGAGGGATCACTTCTATGGTTTATCTTACAAGGGTACAAGTGAATCTTTCTAAGAGTAGAATATGAACGTCTTAACACAATAACTAAGAAAATGACATGAAGGCTATGTTAACCAGTTTGATGAAAATAGTTCAAATTGTATGTGAAAACACGACACTGTACCCCAGAATTGCATTAATGTACATAGTTATCATTTAATTAAAAAAAAAAAGTGTTTCACATTTTGGATTTTGGAATACTTGCATTTCACTTACCAGTGAATCATACCAAATCCAAAGACCCCAAATCTGAAATGTTCTAACAAGAACTGTCTGTAAGCATCACATCAAGTGCTTAAAAAGTTTCAAATCCACTTTGGAATTCAGGTTTTCGGATTTGGGATGCTCAACCTGTACACTCATGTTTAACTGTACTTTCTTTCTATCCTCTCCCTTAAGCTTTCAGATGGCGCTTTTCTCTAAAAACATAGTTGGTTTTATGCCTATTCCTTGTACTCTCTTCTAATTTTCAAACTTGTGATACAGTGGAAAGGGCACTGAACAGCTTGAGCCCTGCCACTATTTACCATATGGTAGCCGGGACTACAGGATCACATCGCTGGGCTGGGCTCAATTATCTCTTACACATTGTGTTTTTGGTGTCTTAAGAAATGCTTCCTACTTCAAACATAAAGAATGCTTCTTTATCCTAAGGATAAACTTCTATATTTTCTTCTAAAAGTATGAAAGGTTTAACTTGCCATATTTATACCTTTAATCCACCTGGAACTGATTTGTATATAATAATAAATAGGGATATCATTTCTTTTTTCTTTTTTTTTTTTTTGGATACAATAACTGTCTCAGCAGGATCCTTCCATCTCTGATTTTTTTTTTCTTTTTTCCAGTTTTGGCTGGGGCTGGGTTTGAACCCGCCACCTCCGGCATATGGGGCTGGCACCCTACTCCTTTGAGCCACAGGTGCTGCCCTCCATCTCTGATTTTTAAAGTACCTCTGACTATCCACCAAATTTCCAAAGATGTCTGAATCTGTTTCTAGGCTTCCTACTCTGGTCTACTGTACCATAATATGTATTATTTTCGTAACATAACAAAAGTCCATGTGGAAAAGGATATGAAAGGACACTGAAGAATGGAAAGGAAAGGAATGAATGCTTAGCCTAACAATGTAGAAAACTTAAAACTCTAGAATGTCACCCAGAAAGAACTCTAAGAGCAGTTCTAAAGTCAAACACTGTAAGAGGCAATTAAAAAACAAGCCAGGTGCAGGGGCTCACACCTATCATCTGAACACTTCAGGAGGCCACAGTGGAAGGACTGCTTGAGGCCAGCAGTGAAAGGCCTGAGCAACAGAGTGACAGACCCGTCTTTATAAAAAATTTTTTTAAAAAATTAGCCTAGTATGCTGGCACACGCCTATAAGTCCCAGCTACTTGGAAGGCTGAAGTGGGTGGGTCACTTGAGCCCAGGAGATCAGGGCTGCAATGAGCTATGACCACACCACACTGCACTCCAGCCTGAGTGACAGAGCAAGACCTTGTCTGAAAAAAACAAAACAGAATAAAAGTAGTCAAAATTAATTGGAAGACAAAGAACCTGCAATGCAAATCAATTTTATATACAAGCAATAAAGTATAATATATTGCCTGTATTTGTATCAAGCTATTTCACTCCTGTTACCAATTATCCCCTGCCACAATCATATGCATAGATAAGTACCTACAGTAAGAAACCATACTTAGGATATGGGCTAAATGTGATTGCGAGTGGGGGGAGAATTCTCATGAATTTCAGTGACAATTTTCTTATTGTCAGCCTTATTATGCTGTCACAAATCATCTTAGGACTTAAGTTTAATTTTACCAACTCAAGACAACTACATGTTCATGCTGTTTCCTACCCTTGTAAACTTGGAGCACATTTCCTCTGCTTCTTTTATCATGTTTGCTCGAAGCATATATTTTGCACATTTGGAATTGATGAATCTATCAGCTGTGTCCAAAGACTGGGCTTCATCCATCCACTTGGCAGCCTCTCTGAGATTACCTATATGCTGTAAGGCGAAAGCATTAAAGAAACCACAGTTCAGATCAAAAGAACAAGGGTATAAAAAAAAAGGAAAAAGCTTATAAAGGCAAAATAGAAATCTGGCACCATTTCTTGTCAAATTTATCCAGTAATTTAAATTACAATTCACATTTACCAAGAGCTAAATCAAATGGCTAATATTAATTATACAACTAAATAACATAAAACTGCTTAGAATTAAGAGTTTTAGAAAAAGATTACCAGGGTGCCCTAGATATTTCTATATGAAAAGAATTCTAAAGGTTCTTAAAGTACCTGAATTCTTCAATTACTCATAAAATATGATTTAGATTTTACCTTGTAAATTTTTGCTTTCAAATAGAATAGTTCTATTAGAGTTGGAGTACTAGCAATTGCAGCATTAATATAATCCAAAGCCAAAGAATATTGTCCAAGTTTATCAAAGTGCTGTGCAAGGAAATACTGAACCCAGAGTAGTGTTGTCGGGGGTTCCTTCTCCCCATTCTCTGCAATTAAACAAATACTAAATTATTATGGAAACAATGTAAAATAGAGCAAATTACATCCTTTTCTTCCCCTAATTTCACAAAATATGGAGATTAATAACTGCTATAATAATAAGCAGCAAAAACATAGCAAAAAATGAACAATTTCAATAGAAAGAGGTGACTTCTGGCCATAACATTCAAAAAGTGGCAGCCAAGCAGAGAAACAAGATAGTAGTTTGACCAGCTTCTAAACCCAACCTCATTCCAGAGAAACAGTGCTGGGAAAAGGATATAAATCAACTTAAGTCTGTAAATTCTCAGGCTGAGAGCAAAAGACAAGCTTAGGAAAGTAAGTTGGAGAAGAGATTCCCTTACTACAACCCTAAGAATTCAACAGAGACAGCAGCTGCCAAACTGCCAAGGCCTTTTCTAGGCCTTAATACTAGATCAGGGAAACCAAGGGATCAGGACCTATAAGATACACTCCTACAAGGAAATATTCCTGATATCTGACAAAAACCTAAGAAGAAAGAACATAGCCCACCTTCACTAAAAAAACAGCCACATAATCAACTTAACTCTACCCTGCCCCTCATCTTGTACCCTCAAGCTACAGAAGAGTAGATAAAGAAATACCAAGCTCTCAAAATGGATTTCAGAAGGGAAGATATACAAGCATGAAATGAGGAGGAAAGAGTGAATTTATCCGTGTACATCAGAACAAAAAGAAGGTCTCATAGTATAGTTAACCAAATGCCATGAAAATGATGCAAACACAATACAGCATTAATTAAAAACATGCCAGATGAGGTAGCTCACACCTGTAATCCCATCACTCTGGGAGGCCAAGGTTGGAGGATCCCTTGAGCTCAGGTATTTGAGACCAACCTGAGCAAGAGATCCCACCTCTACTAAAAATAGAAAAACTACCCAGACATTGTGAGGGCACCTATAGTCCTAGCTACTTGGGAGGCTGAGACAAGAGGATCTCTTGAGCCCAAGTGTTTTAGGTTGCTATGAGCTATGATGCCACAGCACTTTACCCAGGGCATCAGAGTGAGATTCTGTCTAAATAAATAAATAAATGCAAAGAGTCAACCACCTAACCTGCTCGTCTTATACAAACTATTATTTCAAAGGAACCAAATACTTTATGAAGAAGAATTCTAACTAATCAATGCAGACAAAATGATGATTAGAATGAAATAAAGGCTTAATGCAATGACTCTCAATGGCTGCTAAAATCATCAGGTGAGAGGCTGAGGGGAAGTTTTTTTACACACTTACTATTCAAATTCAGAAATTATACATTTTGTTTCGATAACGGTCATTGCCTTCAAAGTGCCATTCGGTTTTCCCACATTTAGAAGTACATATTGCTAATTATGGTCAATCGTGAAAACCCATATTCTCCAATGATACTAAAATACTAGACATAGAAGAGATGAGTAAGGACTGAGATCCACCACACCCCCTCCCACCCTGCGCCACCCCCACCGCCATCCGCAGAGCCACTCTGGCCCCACAGCTGACGCTTTGGAACATTCTCTCTTTTTAGAAACTAAAATCATTCAGCAACATGTCAAGTCCTGATAAAGTACCTCATTACAAGAATCACTCAATGCACCTCCTCCCTGGATATGCAGGGGACTGTCCTGTTTTCTTGTCAAA